ACAAAATTTAGCAAAGACCTAAGATACTGTAGCTATTTTGACTCAGTTTTCTTAACATTAAACCCAATGATTTTACATAAGAGCAGATATGTCATAAGCGCGCACGCTGCGAAGACTCGAAAACGGGCCAAATGGAGCGTCTTGGCGATTATTGGTGTAGAATGTTACTCTATGCACAAGAAAAAAGCCGCCCTAAAGCACTATAAACTAAAACAAATGAACAAACGTCATGAAATTAGCTAAGTATCACACCGTCCTTAGTTCGTTCTAATTCTTAATTCAAATTTTAAATTGAGTTGACATTAAATTATTGACCTGGCTTGATCCTTGCTTGACCCCAGCTAACGATATTACAGGGCGCAGTAGCTACTCATAGTTACACGACGTAATTTCAACGTCATTGAAATTTTTACCTATTTGCGGGCTACATTAACGTCCTTAGCACAAAATATGGGGTCAGGTGTGTAAGCCCTCACCTTACATATATTCTAGATTTACGATGTGTGTTCAAGTTTAGATACTTACTTCTAAAGTATAGAATGACAGGTGTATCATCTATTTACAAGTCGAATATTTTCACGTAGTCGTTGACCCAGTGGCCTCGATAAATGACAATAAAGTTTGCTCATCTAACTATAATACCAACGTCGGCAGGCATAGTGCACCATTATCGTTTTAATGAGGTCAAGTATAGACGATCTATTTCGATGGCGTAGTCGCAACTACAGAAGACAGAAAGAGGTTAGAAGGGAGATCAAAGACTATTTGTTCGGGAACCAATGTCGCTGGCTCGCTTCCACTAAACTTCTGCCTAATAGATAATAGTCAATCAAATGATACGACGACAAATAATCGAACCAATCAGCGCTCACACCCTAGAGCAACGACGCAATCAGAACCAAGTTTTGGTCAAGTTATGAGCATTTGCTCTCACATAACTATGGCGCGCCTGCCCCGCCCACAAGGCTCTTCTAACCTCTCCGTGTTCTGTGGTCGCAACGGAGAATAAAATAGCGCAGTAATTCGACCTTTTTTATTTAAAAAAAAATATATCTCGTATTTTTATAAGAAAGATTTCTGGTGAATTCACGCCACTGTTGCATGAGGTCTTTTGTACAGAAGCTTTACGCGAATTCAACCATTGAGTAATTTAAATACTATGAGGACCTTTTGTTAACTTTTCGCTGTCGTGCTGCCAACTAGCACTTTGTTATTTAAGCAACTCGTTATTTTTACCTTTTTTTAACAATATTGACTAAATACATTTGTAAGCAGCATAATTTTTCAGTAGATACTTATGAAAACGTCATCTTTTAGTTCATTTTAAATTCCTAGTTATAAATTGAAACATAAAAACACTCAATTAAGTATTTCTATTTTTATCAGCAATCGTAAGTGTTGGTCACGGTAGGTTGTTATAAATAATCTTGAGGACGTTCCTCGTGATATTTATTAAACAAAGTGAAGGACTTAGTCATTCTTTTTATCATGTTATTTAATAAACACGTTCCAACTTAAATGCTATGTAGTGGTAATAAACGCCCTTTAATTCCTTAACACATTAGGTAAGTAGGTACTACTAATTTTTACCGTCCTGTAGTCCTGACAAGGAACCCTTATAATTCTGTCATGTCCGTCTGTCCATCCCTGGTTTTGCTTTGAGACTATTAGCACTAGAGAACTGTAATTTTGTGGAAATATGTATATCGATCACGCCGACAAAATAGTAGAATAAATTTTTGAAAAAAAAATTTTTAGGGTAGCTCCCCTACATGTAATCTGGGGATGTTTTTTTATCATCTACCCCATCGTGTGGGATATCGTTGAATAGGTGAAAATAAAGACTCCCGCTCAAATATATTGTGGCAAGTGCAGGCATCTACGGAACCCTATACTGCGTGTGGCACGACACGCACTTGACCGTTTTTTTTTAACATTGACGAAAGAATTTAACCTGTTTTTTCTTGAAACAAGAATCATACCTATTCTTTAGCTATTGTTTATCATCTTAAATGTGTGCCAAGATATGATAAGTAAACTAGGTAGTTATGGATTTATAATACAAAACAAACAAGGAGACAAAGTGATCTTTTTCTATTATTGCATTAAACTGATTTTTATTTCTTCATATTTTTTACGAGCATAAACTCAACTCGGTCAAGGTATCGATCAGGGCGGAAAAGATCTAGTTTTGTCACTAATCAAACTAAAAATGAATATTTTCACATGCAAAAAGAGGTCGGTAACTAAACGCAACCACAAGTCTAGTTCAGAAAACTCTCCTATTTAACACAAATGACATTGACCTATATCCAGTTTGATTTTAGGTTCTATCTATCTATACAACGATATCAAATTAATATCATTGTATCTATATCTTCGCGTCGAGTCCCGGGTAAAGTAGTCACAGGTTCTAGATTGAGAAGATTTGACAGTTACTGGAAATTCGATTTGTTTGTTGACTGTAAAAAAGTAACAAACATCACCGTCAGCTGATTCGCTCTGAGGAAAATGGTATCTAAAAAAATAATAATTACAAGAAAAACTGGAATAACGAAAAAAAACGTTATAGAGTTGATATAAATAAAAAGTGAGTACATTATGTGCCCTTCCATTGTCAATGTGCAGCGGACGATGGACTTAACATAGGGTTATCGCATTGTACGAAAATTCCAATTGCAATAAATAGAAAAACAAAAACGAAACATACGAAAACATTTTATCCTTCAAGTACCTTTAAAAGTTCTGACTTCTGATATCCTTGAACTAATTTTGTTTCCCATTGGATTAATTTTATAATTATTAGATTAATCTTAAACCTGGACGGTGTGGATTTTTTCTAGTATAAATTTTATTTAGATTTATGAATCTAGCAGTTAAATGCTTAAAAATATAATAACCTACAAAACATCATTATATATGTACGTATGCCTACAAAAAATAAGTGATTTTGAAGAATTTTTTAAAACTGTCAGAAGACAACCCTATAAGAAACGCTTACGCAGGGCCTTGCAATAGAGCTATTGAATTTTTTAGTCAAATCTTCATCGAAGGTCGCTTACAAAGCGAAACCTTTATAGTGGTAAATAGTTATTGAAATGCATTCGTCAAGAGGAATAAAAACCGGAGCCAGAGAAATCAGTCATGCAATGCGAAAGAAAAGAATGAGCCGGGTGAACTTTTAAGTAGTTCAGAACATGATATTTTATAGCGAACTATAATAATCTATTAAATGAATTTAAGAAAGATAGTTAAGGCACTCGAATTGGAGTGCCCGAACTGGGCAAGTAACACAGTAAAATAACTACATCTTCTGTTGTTGCAAGCTTTCTGTTGATTGGGGTATTTTCACTAGTCAAAAATAATAAGCTAATAGAAGCGATAACGAGAAATAATTTTACAGCTTTAACGAAAAAAGTACAGATTGGGACCAACGGCTTCACAATTCACATGCCTAGCCAATATATATAACGTTTTTGGTCATCAAAACAAAAAAAAATAGCTCAACAAAACTGTTCTATATGATGTGATAGGTATATTTTATAAATAGTTTATACATCTCATCTCTAGGTAATTGATCTCATTATTATGTACTTGTAAATCATAGACACAATTGCAACAACCGAGGTTAGAAACAATCATGGGAGTGACACAAACGACGCGGTGGAAAATCATTGTTACTGCGCAATTTCTGCTTCCATTTGTGAGGTATCTACACAAGTGGAATCATCTGCATACAATGAATTGATTATAAAATCGTCAGATAAAACCTTAATGCGAGTCGAGTGCTTATTTACGTTTCTGTAACAATATACCCAGGTATTGTAATTTTTATTTAGAAGAGGGACTTTACTAGATTTTTAGGTAAACATTGGTTTCGGTAAAGCTAACCACGATAAGTTACCTTAAGCACTATTTAATAGGTAGGATTGTAGCAATTTACATTAATATTACTTTATATCTTTTGCGTTAGCGGCAGACTGAAATATTACCTGCTGTCATATTATATTTATCGTCGGATCTATAGGGATCCATGTCCAATGTTATTTATTATTTGAACAGATTAGCAGCTGATGCTTCCTGAGTTTTCTTTCGCTGCCAAGCTAGCATGGTAGTCTTACTTTATCATTTTTGTACTGATTATTAAAGTAGAGTTACTCGAATTATGATAAATCAAGGTTTGCCAACCTCATAAAATATTAAAGCAGCACTTTCAAAAATTTAGACAACCTACTTCTGTTATCAATACTTGACTTATAAAATGTAGGTAGGTAGACGCTGTACTACTACTAATTGCTGAGAATAGCCAGCTGTAAAAATATAGAACATGACACTAACTTCAAGTGTTTTCAAAGGAGCCCTCGTTAATTAAATTACAGTTAAGTCGGTTACATAAATACTTAACTACGATGGCTTACTCAGATAAGTTTATAGGTAGAATAAGTACACATTTCCAGAGTTTTTCACCTACTTAACTTTCATATTTTTGTTTGAGAACACTTGTAATATTTTGAAATTAGCAATGGCCTATCCAGAAAATGTATTATGTCGAGCTCTACCGCGCTTTGGAAGGCACGATAAATCACTGTTACATCAGGGCTTTCATCATCAGCCTATTCATGTCCCCGCTGCTGGGGCACAGGCCATCCCTATGGATGGAATAGGGAGACTAGGCTATAACCCACCCCGCGGCCCGAGTGCGGATTGGTGGGTGCTAATGACTGGAGATGCAGCCGGGACCAACGGTTTAACGTGCCGTCCGAAGCACGGAGCAGCTGTAGATAGAAATTTTTTGGTCACCCACCCAATAACCTACCACTGCGAAAGTTGCTTAACTTCAACAATCGCCGCCGAACGCGCTATTCACTTGCGCTATTGAACTCCTCCTAATAGTTCTAATGCAAATGATATCACTGCAAAGCTGCATCGTCAGAAGACTTAGTTTTACTTACATCTATTATATATACATTCACAGAGTAATACCTTTTTATCAATTCCAGGTGAATCTGTACGATGCTGGACGTGCTCCTCCGACCTGAACCCCCACTGCGCGGATCCTTTCCTGGTGGGCGGCGGCATTGACAACACCTACTTCAGACTGGAGAACTGCGACGCTAACACTGGAGCTACATACCCTTACCTCACCTCTTCCAAGTCCGCCTGCAAAAAGCAGAAGAAATACAGTAAGTAAACCCGATCCTCTTTTTTAATGTATGGAAAAGGTGCGATGACGTCCTCCAGGGCCGGACTTTGAGGTGTGGTATCATAAGCGGCTATGGGTATGTATGCGGGCAGCTTACCGACAACCTGGACATCCATATACAGGGTGTAAAAAACCTATGACTAAGACTAAAGCTACGAATTCTGTACACCAGGAACAAGTAATATTACAAAATATGATACGTGGGAAACATTTGTATTTTTAAGTTAAATAATACATATTTTTTTCAGTACGCAATGTATAGCTCGGCGCGCTACTGTGGCGCTACACAAAGAATGTGCCTGTGTGTATATGTAAGTGCGTGGATACAAAAGTTTCTAAACAACGTTTTTGTAAAAATCTTGAAAAAAAATTGTGACTTTGACCTTCAATATCTCCATAACCATAAATTTCCCAGGTATGGTCCAGAAGAAAAAAATGATCGTCATGATGTGGAAAATACGTGTCCTTCGTTAAAGGTTTTTTTACACCTGTATAATGCTTATTTGCCAACCTTTTTCAATAAATGTAATCCAACTTCCTACTAATACTTAATACCAATGTTTGTATGTTTGTTACTCAATCGCGCAAAAACTACTGAACGGATTTGGATGAAATTTGGTACGCATATAGTTTTTGACCTGGATTGAGACGAAACATACTTTTTATCCGGAAACATGTTAGGTTCCTGTGAGATTCTCAAAAAACTAAAGTTACATGTTCTTGTTATAGGCGTAATCATTTTTACCATTCTCTAAGTAATAGGTAATTCTGTCACTACTAGGTATTTTTCAAACTTATCCACTTACGTTTTGATGTAAGCAGGATTCATTAAGGGAACCAACTGTGTACCACTTAATGTTGATTTGAAACCGTTGTATACACCAATAACTTTATTGCAATGGTCAAATTGAGTAAGTAAAAAAATGTACTCCCGGACACATCTATCGGCCCACCTAGCATATTTTTTACATTATTTTTTATTTACTGAACCATATTTTTCTTCGTGTGTTTTTTTTAAATATATTATCATTGCTCAACCTAACATATATATTTTTGTTAAACTTACAAAGTAACTAAGTGGGCCGATAGATGTGTCCGGGGGTGTAATTTTTGCCGATATGGAAATCGCTAATGGAAAAATATACACTCGCTCTAAATATAGACTATAAAAACCAAATAAAAACACTCTCTCAGCGATATCAAAATGACGAACGCGATATACCATACTAATTTATAGTTGAGTTTTGCCTTGAACTAGGTAGGAGAGCAATTCAATGTAGGAAGAAGATTCTGAGAACTAAATAAATCGTTCTTAAAAATCTAAACTGGCATTTAAAAAGTACGTTTTCTCAATCTGCTACCTTTATCGGATTGTGCTGCGTTCAATGCACTGTGTCCTAAATAGATTGCACTTTTACGGTTAAGTACACGGTTGTTCCCAATTAGGGATGCCAACTCTACTTTATAATATAGTGTCCTACTAATACAAATACTATATTTCCAAAAAAAATTGTAGGCGAAACTACTATCCGTCTTTTTCGTTTTGTCATCCCTCCTGTTATATATTTTTGTCCATCTCATATTATCGTGATAATCTTAAAAGCATGACCCTACAACGCCCTCAAGGAATGGGTAGTAACCGAGAGTAATTATATGAACGACCCTAAATGTATATGTACTCAAAAAACAGCATTCTAACCGCTGTGTGACCGCGTGCGATCTAGTGTAGATTTTGACCTTGCAGCTTATAAGTACTTAAGTAGGTACATTAATAGAAACGTGACCGCACCTGGTCCTACGACTACGTGAATATGAAAAACAACTCGTTGGTGAGCAATGTCAGTTTGTATAGCCAGTTATGATAGCAACGCCAAATGTCGGTACAAAACATCTCTATTTTTGCCAAGAAATAGGTAATTTTGTTCGGTATTCCTGCAATTATTTCCACTTTTGTAATCGGTAACAATATTCATATACAATAACAATATTCAAACTTACTTGAAAACGTTTTCCAAATTTATATCCCTATTTAATTACATTTTGCGAACGGTGTGCAACGAAGCAATATTTTTACATTATTTAATTAATTAAAACAATTTTACATATATATTTTGGAACTCTGTCAAAATGGAACGTACCTAGTAACTCACCACGGTGCGTACAGGCTTTAACAGACAGCAGGTTACGCGATCATTAAAGACTGTTATTTTTCTTAAATTTTGATTTTTATAAATATTTCAAAAAATACACCATATTTTCCTTAATTGGACGCCTTTCCCCCTCCCTACTCTACCATGCATTTAACACAGATACACAATAATGATAGAAATATACTTAGGTATATAATAAATAAAGTAATTTAAAAGACAAAGATAGTACAATTGAAGATCCGCTCAAACTCAGTCAACAAAAACAACCCAAGCAAATAAAATTATGCGATCTGCGACTGCACAATAACAATATTTTAGCTAATTCTGACATGCCAAGGATAAAATTTTGTTCACGATCACTGTTAAAATTTTCCTTAGACTGACTTGCGTGATCGAAGGCTCAACAGACCTTGATAGAATCACAGTAAATTAAAAAAACATGTTTAAAGTTGTTCAAAATACACGCACAAATATTCCTCTAGCAAAATAAGGAAAATGCAACGTGTTGGCCTTGGAAAAGAATATCTGACAACGTTCTTTAATGATAAGTAAGGGTTACTCCCCTATCCTGTGTTAAAAAAAACAATTATTTAACTACGTATTACCTACTTTTCTGTGACCTACTTAGTATTAGTGTTACAAATGTCTCCGCCGGTTTTTTTTATAGCCAGGTAGGCCAATGACTCTACCCTAGCTGATGTTAAGTGGTGATTACAGTATAAGGACCATCCAAAGGGTATATGATTAACAATGACTAAAATCACGTAAACATTACATCAATATAACCATGGCCACGACCTTTATTGTGAGATTCAAACTTTATCCGCTTTCCTCGGTAGCGGACCTCGGTTTATCTGACCTACTGTAGCCAAATAGAAACAATAAGAGATTTCAGACAACTTACAATCGCTATTTAGTCCCAAAATAAAACTCTAGAATAAATATTCATTGCTCATAACACAAATAAATAGTCCGGGATTCGATCGGTCATCACATCACATCGCGGAACCGTTGCTTCATCCTGCCATCTGATAGATTACTTTAATAAATATTTTGTTACCACGTACCTACTATTTTAAAATGACACAGCTTCAATCCGCTGACATTGTGTCGTATCTAAGGAAGTACCTGTGTTCTATACAATTCCATTGTTCTACTGAAACGCCCTTAATTATAACTACTTTTGGACATAATGTCAGTACAGGTACAGGGAAAACTATAGGCCTGTGCTATTGACAGTACGATCCTATCATAACTGTGCATGGTAGCTATGAGGTATTCCTACCTCTGCAGAACCTTATCTTTTTGGCACAGAACAGAGTATGATCTATTTGAATTGTGGCGCCCACTTACAGGAAAGCACTTATCTTCAACGATAACATTCAGTCAAGCCATGCTTCCTTAATGAGAATAGTAAGTACCTACCTAGTCTACAGAATTCTGATGACAACCGCAACAGGATGTTTTATAATAATTGATATGTCTACTGTCAACTTACTTTGTAATCAAGTAAGAATCAAAATGTTTAAGACTTTATATGTTTTGATAAAGTTGCTATTATAATTATTTTTTATAAAATTAAGATAGTCTGATATAATCTTATGATTTCTTTAGTTACTGTTCATCGTTTTCTCAGATGTGTGTATTTTTTCTACAGATTAACACACCTGGAACTTTTCTTCGGAAAATTTTTAATGAATCTCACAAAAATCATCATAAAACGCACTTTCTATGTATATATATATACAGATACATTGTTGTAAATTTGACCCTTTTTGTACTCTACTTTTGTACTTTTGAGTTCCAAGGTAACATGGGTCCGATTTATTTACTGTGCAGTGTATTTATTAGGTATTAAAATGTTTTCATCCACGGGGATATAAACTATACATCATTATAGTCCCTCGTTCTCTTTTCTTCTTTTCCATAGGATAGGATATATAGGATAGGATAGGCATTTTTCACAAACTAAGATATTCATTTTCGGTCTTTATTCAGTATCCTCGTGACCATACCTCTCGTGTCTATACCAACTAACTCAGCCGAGCCATCTAACAACTTATCGGCTTCGGTAATAGGTGCACGCAACTTTGTAAAGAATAATCTAATTTCCCTTCAAACAAGATCATCTTTTATTGCGCCATCTCCAAGGTCCATTTTCGTAACAAAAAGTACTTAGCCTTCGTACTACTCCGAAGTCACTTTATCTGCATTGCAATCCACGAAGACCACCATTGCTTCTAACCGTTAATAGTAAATGTTTTCTACAGCTTCCGAAAATATTAGGTGTTATCGGTACACACTAATTATCTATGATAATAATAAATAATAATTATCTTTTTATCACTAATTATCTTCAACCAAAACTTGGTGGGTCGCATCTTCGTGGATTGCACTATCAGTACCTAGGTACCAAATTCATTCAAAATCGGCTCCTATAGACAGATACGATTTTTCAGAGTTAGCTAGGTACAATGGAAATGATAGGAACATTCGAGTGATCACCAAAAAGTTTTTCTATTATCAATCATTCATTATTCAATATGAATGTAAACAACATTATCTAATAGATTATGAACCCTGATTCAAGACTCGCGATAGTAAACATTTATTCAGAATGAAAAAATAGAAACAAATGTAATTTGTTATTTTGTCGTTCCTCCGCTAATTTCTATCTGTCGTTGAGCAATCCCACTGTGCGAGCCAACTTCAGATTTAAATTTAGACAGAAATGCATATCCAGGCCACCGACCAGTAAATAAATAAAAATCATTTCATCAGAACGACACCAATACGAGGAGTAAGATACTTAATGTAACAATATATTTTTAGCCCGTTCAATTTCTTGATAAGTGGAATAAATGATATATGTAGGTACTTAGTTTATCGTTCACCGTAACTAGGCTAGGTACTTAATGTGTTTTACATATTTTTTTTAAGTTTTTAATCTACGTTTTTCTTTTTTTTATAGTCAACGGTCTGCTGGTGATCTCAAGGGGTTGCACCTGGAAGCGTCAGGATGATTTCACAAACACCTGCCCCAGCTCCTCGAATGGCCCCAACGAGGTCACATACTCCTGCGAAACCTGTGAATATGATGGTTGCAACGGTGCAGCGACCATCGGCAAGACGATAGCCTTAATGTTGGCACCTTTGGGTCTATTGCTCTTCAAGTAGATTTAACCTGCCAGTAATCAACAAGAATTTTATTGATAACATTCGAGCTTTTCACTAAAATCAACAGACGAAACATTGTTGTTTAGTACCTTTTTGGAACGTGAAGTAATATATACTTCCTGACAAATCACTCGGCCCATCTTATTATTACCTACGCAGTTTTGAAGCTGATGTATTAACCATATTTTCGTGTATTTAAAAAAGTATTGCACAACCTCAAACATATATTATATATTATATATATATATATATATATATTGATGTGTGTTACGCTGACATATCTCAAGAACTTCTTAACAAATTGGATCGATTGCTCAACAACTGCATTCGTTTTATTTTTTGTCTCCCTAAATACGATCACGTTTCTGCCTTTCGGAAGAAGTTAAATTGGTTAACAATTCGCCAACGTCGAAATCTCAGAATTCTTTCCACCCTATATTCAATCATTAATGATCCATGTGCTCCTGGATATTTGAAATGTAAATTTCGGTATCTTGGCAGTATCCATAATCTGAATCTTCGGTCTAGCAGCAAACAAACTCTAGCTTTTCCCTCTCACCATACTGGTTTTGTTTCCAACTCATTTTCTCTTCAAGCTATACGACTCTGGAACGCACTGCCTCCTCATATTCAAGATGCTCCGAACAAACTGGCTTTTAAACGCTCCGTACGTCATCATTTATTAGATTCCTCCTCCGCATCCTCCTGATATGATATATATTTGTATGTATATTCTAAATATATATATATATTATTATTTATGTATTTTTATAGATATTTATTTTATGTAGTATATATATATTATCTTGTTTCCATAGATATAAAAATATAATAAGTAATTTGATGAATTCTTTTTGCACTACCTTAAGATTTTTGCTAAAATTCTCCGGTTGACTGGTAGAGAATGCCTAATGGCATTAAGTCCGCCACTTGTACATACTTTTGTGCAATAAAGTATAAATAAATAAATAAATATATTGTAAAAATATACGTTTGAGGTTACAGACCGTTAAAACTTATAACAGTAAGAACTCGTCAGGTGTCGGGCCCAGATTTTAACCGGATGTTCCAGTAGCAGAACATTTTATATGAAGCTATTCACTGTTGTCGGAAACCGATGTTGTGTCGGAGGGTGATAATGATATAGGATGTATTCCGAAATATACACCAGTACACTGGCCAGCGGTAATGACGTCATGATTTCGACGCCATATTGACAACACTACTACTACACCAGTGAATTAAGGCGTCGAAATCATGACGTCATTTCCGCTGGCCAGCGTACTGGTGTAGGTATATTTCTGAATACACCTATAAAATGCTCTGCCACTGGAGCATCCGATAAACTCCTGGACCGACACCCGGCAAGTGGGAACGAGCTCTTAGTGGGCCGAAAGATGTGTCTGGAAGTATATTATGACAATAACTCATTTGATTTATGAAAAAAAAATACAACGAGCTTTTATTTAGGTACTGCACTACATGTGTATGTAAACAAAAAAACTACAAAAGCAGAATCTGAATTTTGCACATAATAAAGTCTTATAAATTATATGGGAACCTCGTTACTATTTACTTAGTTTGAGATGAAGCTTCAAGCAATACTTCCAACAAAACCATAAATGGATAACTAGCAACCTTCCAGAAGTCATATCTAAACATTTCCTGCTAGCAATAAAAAAATCCCGAGTCTTGACTGCAGCTAAACTATCTAGAAGACCAGTAATTGTACTCAAACGCACACAAAATCCCATAAGTATAATGATGAGAATTTTACTGACATATTAATATGAACATACCTACAACACGCACAGGGGAAATAAAAAAATGTTACTGTTATAGTTAAACATTAGTAAATCTTAGGTTTACATAATAAATCCTAGGTTTACATAATAAATCCTAGGGATTACCAACCTCAGACCAAGAAAAATCTGAGTTACCAACATGGTAAACATATGGATTTTGATTACGAGTTCAAAGTGTTTTTAAGTTTAGACATGCTAGGTTTTATCAATAACGGTTGGTTGGTTTTACTTGATAATTTCCGGGTTAAACAAAGTTCGGGATTTTACAGTTAACATAAAACTTATTGGTATGGCTTTCTTTTAATATTATCTACTTTTTTATAGTACAAAGTTTATAGTTAAGTCGCCTTTAATACATCACATCTAAAACAGTTATGAGAACCAAAAACAAATGACACTTACCTACCTAAATTCTAGAGACAAAAAATAAACCTCTGGTTTTTGAAGTCAGCAAAAAAGGCATTCTCTGTCACTTCTTGCTTACAAAGACTTATATGAGTTATTTTAGAGATTATATCTTTAAATTAGAGAGATAATACTAGAAGTAGACCAACTTTGTTTTAATTTTAATAAGAAAAATATACATGGGTATGTAAGTGCCTAAGCTTAATTAAGTACCTAATAAGACATAAGCATAAATAAATGTTTTAATAATAGAAAAAGCTACGAGATAATTTCCTGTACCTATAATTCAAATAGCAAATTTTCTTTTGGTTTTTTTTTTATGTAGTTAATAAAAAATCTTTTGAAGCTTAAAACTTTACCTCACATTTCAGCCGTCAGTACAAATTTAATTTCAGTAGGTACAGAACGAGGGACCATACATGTTATGAATGCATATAGGATTACATACTTACAATTAAGTTTGCTTTAAATAATACGAGTACCTAGGTGCCCACCGTATCAGTAAGTTATAAATGTTATAAAGCACGTGTTTTACCTATTTTATTTGTTAGTTTGTTATAACAGATAATACCTATCTACCTGTAGATGTAAACGTTAACCATTAATTCTTACGAAAAATACCTTATGCTCGAGTCTAATTTAAATCAAACCTTATGCATTACCTACCTACGAATCTCTTTTAACTCATATATTAAATTATTTTATTGTAAACATTATTACCTAACTACGTTTTCATTTATCCACTGCACAGTTAACTAATCTCCCTGATGAATTGAACTAAGTAGTGGCCGTAAAATAAATACTACCTTTAATGTATTGCCTTTTTCACAAGAACGTATTTTAACGCAAGAGAAATTATCTACTAAATTATTTCATTTTGTTTGCATTGATTTATAAATCCTTATTTAAATATCTGTTAGTATAAGAAACTTAGATAATAGTAAGATGAAAATATCTTTAACTGTAAATATATTTAAATAAAAAGGAAATTTATAAAATAATAGTCTAAGCATTTAATAACAAACCGCAGACACAGAATAATAATATTTAAGCGTACCTAATTAACTGCTACTTAATGCAATGTCCTTTTTCAACTTATCGAATACCTTACCTAGTGCATGACATTGTGCCTTGATACAATACACAGAATACATAAGGCCGCCCCCACCTCCATAGGCACGTTATTATCGGTAGCAAATATCGTATGCGTTGCGATATTGACGACCGATAATAACGCACCTATGGGCTAGATAGTACAAGTACCTTGGTAAAGTGAAAATTAAAGTTCTCGTAAGCCGCACGGACTGCCTAAACGGCTTCTCCGTTTCGCACCCGTGAGACTTGCGTGAGGCTAGGTGTGATGTCCGTTCGTTGGTGTGCCCCTTAAGGGCGCCAACGTCTGTAAATAGAGGTTATGCCTGTGTAAAAAAAGGCTAGATCTTAATGAACATGGTGTAAACCAGTGTTTAAAGAAAATATTTATTTAATGTTTTTTTTTCTGTCCACCAAAACACTGCGTTATATAAAAGATTATTATCTAATAATATGACTAAACATAAAAAAGAACTATAGTCATATAGTAAAATAAATACTTACATGTGTTAATGTAATAGGCCTTATAACATAATCATTTCAACAACAGGCGTTGAAAATATCCCCAGTTTGTTTTACATTATGGTTCTAATGTTAAATATTAATATATTCATTAAGTTAAAATGATGTTTTATTTCAACACCTCAACGTTTACCTTAAGATACTACTAAAGATTTCGACAACAGTGGTCTAATAAAAGCCACCCAGACTCACGAAAATTGAGAAAATCCTACTAATATTATAAATGTTTCTTTTTTATGTATGTATGTTTGTGAGTTCGGATCGGATTTGAATGAGATTTGGTACATATATAGTTTTTTATCTGTCCCTGTAGCATGAGCAGTACAATTTACATTGTACCACGTTTTTTATCGCACCTAACTGTCAAACTACATAGTAATTTGACAATTCAGCGCGACAAAAACGCATTATATATCATATCGCGGTGCTCATGCTAGGGGGGCTGGATTGAGAAAGGAACTTTATAACCCGGAGAAAAATGTTAGGTCCCAGTGGGATTCTCAAAACACTGATGTTAACGCGGATGAAGTCGTAGACGGAAACTAGTGTTAAATAAACATTAAGTAGGTAAGCATCAAAATAATTACTTCTTCCTTATTGCGGAAGGTATTGGATTCGATTCCCATTCATGTTGGTAAAATAATTATAATAGGCTATTTGACAGTATGAAAAATAATGTACTGTTTGGGCATAGAAGTTGGAGTCTTTATTTAATAATACTCGTTTTCTTCGTATTTCCTTTTTTATATAATTGATTGATTGAATTTACAAGTGCAAGATATTTTAAGACAACAATACTGGCTCTAAAGTAGTTAATGACTAAGTACAAAAGCGACCTCTAGTAGAAATCCTCGAACCACGTGCTGTGTTGGGAAGATAGCCACTGGTGTGCGGAATGGGGGCGCGCTACATATTCAATCCAAAAGATCGCGCCCGGTGATAAAGTTCGCTCACGCAAACTTTCAGGTAGAATTTTGTGCGATCTTCTGCATTGTATGATTACTTATTGAAAAGCCTAATTCTTCAATCCTTGAGTTCATCAGCAGCAGGAAGTCGGCAGAGTCGAACCAAAGGCCGACGTATTCATCCTGTGTGGTATGAACATCAGCGACTCTAGATCTTGTCCAGGATACAATCACGTAACTCTTCCCATCCTCCAATTGAGCGGAGGATTGTTATCCTCGTGAATCAGTACTAAATCTCCAACATTAAGCGTCGCCCCTGTTTTCTTTAGTGTTGCCCAA